GAAGAAATGTGTGGGAAATATCAGAAAGGGACACAGAACATAAAGACTCCTAACTCTGGGAAATGAACTATGGGTGGTGGAGGGGGAGGAGGGCGGGGGGTGGGGGTGACTGGGTGACGGGCACTGAGGGGGACACTTGACAGGATGAGCACTGGGTGTTATTCTGTATGTTGGTAAATTGAACACCAATAAAAATTAATTTATTAAAAAAAAAGAAGTCCTTCAGTAAAAGAACTTTGTCTAACCCAGAAGTTTTACCAAAATAATTTGATTCTCTTATAATATGGTATCTGTTTACATTTCAGGGAAATTTTAGCTAACACTTTAGGAAACAGTCATGTAGGGAAATTATGGAGTACATATCTTCGGGCAACCCTATGTGAATACTGTTTCTGAGATCCAAGTCCTTGATAAAAATCTTGAAAAGAGTGTTACATTTTATTCCCTCTGGCAAAAACTTGGGAATGCAGATATTCTGTGCTGTCAATTAAAAATAGACCTTTTGCTGTGACAGTCAATTGAATAACAGGTCATCTAAGGAAAGTAAAAGCTCCTAATCAATCTTGTGTCCACATCTTGCCCAGGGAGGACTGAAAGGCAGGCCAAATATTGTCGTAGGAAACATTCATGGTTCCAGTCTATTTAAACCCAGTGATACAGTTTGAATCGATTCAGTGGAAATCAATCTGAAAATCTAAGTTTGTTTCAAGTGCAGTAATGGATTTCTTTCCAAGAACTTCTAAGTGCTTCTAGAAGTGGTAAGAAACACACTGCTATTGTTATTGAAAATAACATCTATCGAATATCTTAACCAATGACCCTATTCTTTATAGGTTAATGTGCCAATAATTTAGGCTGCTTGATTTTCTCCACTGAAACTTAAGATTTAAGTTTATGATCACTAGATCATAAAAAAATGGTACAATACAGCCCTTTCTATCTAGGCAGGCATGCTTCAGACTAACAATACTGAGTAAATGTAATCTCCATGGCAAGAGGAAGAGAAGTGAAGTTTGTGTCCTGATATATTCTCTGCTTCTAACCAAGTGAAGGCTTTGTAGTATGTCAGAAAACCATTGGCTAAATGAGGGACTAGAGAAACTCACAGTGCAAATCACCCAGGCAAAATGGAAGAGAGCCCTAAGAAGGAAGAGGAACACCTAATTTCTGTTTTGTTTTGTTTCTTTCTGTTACTAATCTCCTTGAAATTTCTAAAGTATTTCCTGCCTTAACTTACTAGGTTTAGTAGAATCAAGAAAGATAGAGCACCATTTAAACATATCAGATAAGTGAGCTAAAATGAATTTTACATTTCATTCTGGAGTTCATTATACTTTTGGCAGCAAATTTATCTTCCTAATTATGTTTTACTTAGGTTGAAATTAATTTTAATTGGTATTTCCTGTGAACACACTGAATAAGAAGTAGAAAAATCTGCCTGAAATTAAAAGTTGACCTTGAGCAATCCAAAATTCACACTTACTCTGGATGACCTCATTTGTGCCCATGACTTCACCCTCCCTGATGCTCTGAGGACTTCCAAATCAACACATCTCTTCCAGCTTCTCTCCTGAGCTAAGCAGTACATCTCAACTGAATCTTGGGCAACTTCGCCTATATGTGACCTGTGCAATATGAGATCTCATCTTCCCTGACATGTTTCACATCTATTCTCCTCTCCCCATAATCCCCAACCTCAGTTGGAACCCTCCCACCCAACTGCTTAACCTCAAATCTGGAAGCCACTCCAGATTTCTTATTCTCACCACCAAGTTTTCTTTTCTTTTTCTTTTTTTAAATTTATTTTTTGTGTTCAATTTGTCAACATAGAGAATAACACCCAGTGCTCGTCCCGTCACCCAGTCACCCCCACCCCCTGCCCACCTCCCCTTCCACCACCCCTAGTTCGTTTCCCAGAGTTAGGAGTCTTTAGTGTTCTGTCTCCCTTTCTGATATTTCCCACTTATTTTTTCTCCTTTCCCCTTTATTCCCTTTCACTATTTTTATATTCCCCAAATGAATGAGACCATATAATGTTTGTCCTTCTCCGATTGACTTATTTCACTCAGCATAATATCCTCCAGTTCCATCCACGTCGAAGCAAATGGTCACCACCAACTTTTCTGAGACTAAAATCTAAATTCCTGATCAGGGCTTTGAAAAGGTCTTCACAGTCTAGCCTCATGTTTCCCAGTAAAGACCCTACTGACAACTGGGGCACAACAGATTTCTTCTCTGTGCAGAAGTACCCTTCTTCTTCCTAGTCCCACCCACTAAAAGCCAGTAATAATTCCTATTCACCTGACAACAGCAACAACAACAACAACAAAAAAAAACAAAAAAACAAAAAAAGATCCTTCACATTTCCTAATGCTCCTTTGTGGAGTAATACTGCCTGTAGCTGAGAATCACAAGTCTAGCCTTGCCCACCTTTCCAGCCCCATCTCCCACTATGCTCCTCCACAGCCTTGGCATTCCAGCCATACAGAAAGATTTACTTACCCCATGTGTGCTGCGCTCTCTCAAGCCAAACCTCTGCCATTGCATACGCTATTTCTTCTGTCTTCAATGCTCTCCTTTCAGCCCTCTCCTTACTAGACAAGTCAAAAGTCTATAAACCTCAAGATTCAACTCAAACTCCTTTCTCCTTTTGAAGTTTCCAACCACAGTGACTCTTCATCCTTGTACATTTAGGTGGTACTTACTGTAAGTATCTCCTCCTTTGGACAGTTCTAGACTGACCAAGCCTCAAAAGACCTGCCACACATACATCCCACTTTAAAGAAAACTGCCGTCCTCATAGTTCTGCCATTCATAGATCCTATGACCACCTCACAACTGATGGCCCCAGAGCAGCACCTGGTATGAGGGCAGCCCTTCCATAGACAGTAATCCACGATATGTCATAGTTTTTTTTTCTTTTATGTCATAGTTTAAAAAGATGAGTTAGGCTCATTAGATTCTCTGTCTCTGTCTCTCTCGTTTGTAGTAAGAAATACAAATAGAATGAGCCATTTGTCAGAAGCTGCTATTGCTGAAAGGTCATAGGGTAGAGATGCCACAAGGAAAAGGTAATGAGCCAAAGTCTGTGTAGACATGAGAGAGATGGGGAGACCAGAAGAGTCACCCAGGTAGCACGCTAGACTACCAGGACTCCTCTCCACCATTGTCCCCCCAGTCCTTGGTAGCACTGGTAATAGTATCAGGGGACCCCTGAGAAGAACAGAGAGAAAGCAGGGCACCAGGATTGCTGAGCAATGGAGAGTAGCCTTTATGGGCAGAGGCAATACTTGGCTCTGACCTGCCTCCAGAGAGCCTCCCAAACCCCAATGTGACAGATCTTCTTTTTTGCACTATACTGACCTACAGAGGAGAGAGCAGGCTGAAAGGAAAAGCTATTTCCTATCTCTGCTTCCACTGATCACAATCCCTGTAGCCTGGGGCAAGTGTTTCTAGAGCACTTTTTCTTATCTGTAAAATGAGTATTTTAGTATCTGTCCTGCTTGTGGTTCTACCGAAAGATATGTTCTTTTAGAGTTTTACTTTTTAAAAAAATAAGATTTCATTTATTTGAGAGACAGAGAGAGTGAGTGAGCCTGAATGGGGGGATAGGCAGAGGGAGAAGCAGAATCCTCCTGAGCAGGGAGCCCCATGTGGGGCTGATCCCAGGACCCTGAGATGATGACCTAACCTGAAGACAGATGCTTAACTGTCTGAGCCAGCCAGGCACCCTGGTCCTACTGAATGATTAATTAACTGTATGACATTATGCAAGTCATTTGATCTCTGTGAACCTAGTTCCCCAGTTTTAAAATGGAGTCAGTAAAACCCATTTCTTTTTTCTTTTTTTCAATTTTTTAAAAAGATTTGTTTATTTATTCATGAGAGACAAAGAGAGAGGCAGAGACGTAGACAGAAGGAGGCTCCATGTAGGGAGTCCAACATGGGACTCGATCCTGGGACTCCAGGATCACACCCTGGGCAGAAGGCAGGCACTAAACCACTGGGCCACTCAGGGATCCCAGTAAAACCCATTTCATAAATTACTATAAAGAGGATGCAATAGTCAGAATAGATAATGTATATAGTAAGTGGTTTGTAAACTGATTGTTGCCATATATATTTATAAAGTTAAAATTACTATTTCCTTTTCCAAGACTTGAAAGTATCACAGAATACATTTTTTAAAAAAGATTTATTTATTTATTTGAGAGAGAGAGAGAGTGAGAGTGAGAGAGAGAGCATGCATGCACACACATATATGGGGTGGGGAGAGGCAGAGGGAAAGGGAGAATCCTAAGCAGGGACTCCATCTCACGACCCTGAGATCACAACCTGAGCCAAAACTATGAGCCCCATGCTCAACCAACTGCATCACCCAGGCACTCCTCACAGAGACGTTTTTATTGGTGTTTATAGTTGTATACATAGATTTATCATATCCATTAGTATTATTCTAAAACTTTACTCAGTTCTACTGACAGTATTACTTAAAATGTTAAACGTATTTTACACTATTTTGTAACTAAAGATTGTCATTTAAATTCAGCAATCTTAGTCACTAAGGGATTGCTATACTTCTAAAAACCATTTATCACTCACTTCTTATCACAACACTTTGAAATCCTTCTGCAGGCTATAAATCAATGTTTTTTCCCTGCGTACTACCTGCTGTTTTAGTTTTACTATAAATAATAGCTTTAAAACCTATATGTAGCCATGGAGCATTTTTTCTGAGATTGTTTATTATTTGATTTCCATTAGTAACCGTTGATTTTTTTTTTTTAAATCCTTTTGAGCACCTGAAACTCTGAGAGTCCCTGAAACCTGGGCATTATTCTTGATCTTTTTCTTTCAAACTCTCCAATCAATTGTTGACTTGTTTTGTCTGCTTCATAAATATTGCTAGAATTATAGTCCACTGCTGTTATCCTAGTCCAGACCACTGATATCTCAATGAATGCCTGCAGCAGTTCTCTGACTGGTTTCCCTGTATTCAGTTTTGCAGGCTGGTGCTATGGATACTTCAGTGAGTAACAAGGTAAAGTATAATATTCCAAGGCTGTGGAGTTTTTTAATTAGTGGGATAAAGTCTAAAAATAAAAAAAGATAACCTCAATTTGCAAATTGTAATGAATGCTATATAGAGAAGTAAGCAAAAACCTAAAAGAGAATAGAGGGAGAGAAGCATTGTAATTATAGGATATTGTCAGGGAGGACGACTCTGAAGAGTTGACTGCCAAGCTAAGACTGTAAGGTTAAGAATGAGCCAACCAAGAGAGGAGAAAAAGCATGCTGAGTGGATGTAGAAGACTTAGGAGGAAAGAAGTATCTAAGAATCTAGAATACTAATATAGCCGAGTCATTCCCCATAACCACAAGCAGAATCAGTGCCCCTCTACCCTCAAGGATTTATAGCAAATGTGTAGAAATAAGAATAAGGCACCCCATCTAGGTGGATGAATGCCGTTTCTACAGTATAAATACAACTCAGTCATTAAAGAGCTTCACGATTTCCCATTATCTTTAAGTGTTCAAACATCTTAATTTGTATACGATTTACAAGAAGCTTCACACTCAAGCCTCCACCCACTTCCCCCATTCCCACTGTTCTTCTCATTCTTCACTGACCTTCTTGTGGTTCCTTGAATGTACCATGTATTTTTGTGTCCAAGACTTCCCTCTCTGTCCTGCTAACTGGAACATCATTTCCCTCCCCATTACTTGGTCAGTCCTTCCTCACCTTTGAAGCTTCAGCTTAACTATCACTTACTCTGACAAAGCCTCTCAAAGCATATGTCTGAGAACTTCTCTGTCCTTCACACTGCCCGTTAGATACTGTGTGCCTAATTCCAGTCACTGCTGTCACTTCAGACCTCTAGGAAGGCAGTTCAGGGTGCCTGTGATGACTACTTTTGGTGTGGTCAACATTATATCCATCAGCTATTTTTTGACTGAGGGTCTCAAACTGTTCTATAATGGACTCATTATCTTTTAAAGCTCTTTTTGCATGTATGGATGGAGTACTCTCTATCTTGCTATTACAATATTCAGAATGACAGCTCTGTCTAGGCTCTAATTCAGAGTGGTTACAGATGTATCAGAAGACCACCCTCCTTAAGTAAACTTCAAGACAGAGTAATAGTATGGCTAGAATGTCTTAACACAACAGTCTATTTGGAGTTTGCAAGCAGTGGAAGGAAGAGAAGTGAATCCAGCTTCCTAAGATCACATTTACAAGCTAAGCACAGAGCAAAAAATCATGACATTCACCTTTGATAGCAACCTTTTATATAGAGAATCCAAAAGTGGGGAAATTGACTTAAGATGCTTAAAATCTTGCAACAGAGAAATAATGCTTTCTATCAACTTCCTTCCACTAAAATTTGTATGCAACCAGGCTCATCCTAAAGCAAATGGTTTGCAGCAACACAACAAAATATTCGTATACCCACATCTGTTTTTTTTAAACCCATATGCCTATAGATTTCTTGAGACCAAACCTTAAAATAATAATAAGTGTTTATGGTTCTGAGTAAAAATGCCATGAAGTAATCAAACGCAAATTAGTGATTTATCTGTCAATAAATACCTCAATGCTTGACACTTTGCTCTTTAGCGTATGCAGAAAAGACCAAAAAAGAGTATAATATAGTAGCTGCCTTAGGTTACTCACATGATCTGAGAAGCCTACTTTTCTTCACTTAGGTAGGAAATCATTTCAACGTTAGATTGCAGAGGGGCTCATAAGAGATATTCATACTGAAATATACTTAAAGTTTCTTATACTGGTCCTAAAGTCATCAACAGTATGAGCCTGGTTTATTTAATGTGCACCCTACTTGTTACAAGAAAGAATTTGAGGTTATATATGTATATAATGTAATCAGATCAAGAGTAAAATAAAAATGGAAGTAGAGGGAAAGGAGTAACAAAAGGTAGAAAAGTAAGATGAAGCTGGGAGTGAGTGATTGCGTTGTTTCCAAAGTCTTAAGTTTCGATGAAGTTTGCCAGAACACAATTTTTTTAAAAAACCAGTTCTTTTTTTTTAAAAAGATTTTATTTATTTATTCATGAGACACACACACACACACAGAGACAGGCAGAGGGAGAAGCAGACTCCATGGAGGGAGCCTGACATGGGACTCCATCCCGGGTCTCCAGGATCACGCCCTGGGCTGAAGGCAGTGCTAAGCTGCTGAGCCACCTGGGTTGCCCCAGAACACAATTTTTATGTGTGTCAGGGAGATTTGTTATTTCCACATTATGTATATCCTCATTTAAAAACAAAACAAAACAGCACCCAAAACCATAAGATACCTAGGAATAAACCTACCAAAGAGGTAAAGGATAGAACACTAATGAAAGAAAGTGAGGAAGACACAAAGAAATAGATAAACGTTGCATGCTCATGGATTGGAAGAACAAATATTATTAAAATGTCTATGCTACCCAGAGCTATCTACACTATCAATGCAGTATCTATCAAAATACCATCAATGTTTTCCACAGAGCTGGAACAAATAATCCTAAGATTTGTATGGAACCAGAAAAGACCCCAAATAGCCAAAGTAATGTTGAAAAAGAAAGTCAAAGCTGGAGGCATCACAATTCTAGGCTTTGAGCTGTATTACAAAGCTGTAATCATCGAGACAGTGTGGTACTGGCACAATAACAGACAGATTAATGGAACAGAATAGAGAACTGAGAAATGGACCCTCAACTCTATGGTCAACTAATCTTCGACAAAGCAAGAAAGAGTATCAAATGGAAAAAACACAGTTTCTTTAACAAATGATGTTGGGAAAATTGGACAGACACATGCAGAAGAATAAAACTGGACCATTTTCTTCTACTATACACAAAGATAAACTCAAAAAGGATGAAAGACCTAAATGTGAGACAGGAATCCATCCAAATCCTAGAGGAAAATGCTGGCAGCAACCTGTTTGACCTCAGCCACAACATCTTGCTAGACACATCTCCAGAGGCAAGGGAAACAAAAGCAAAAATGAACCATTGGGACTTCATCAAGATAAAAAAACTTTTGCATAGCAAATGAAACAGTCAACAAGACCAAAAGACAACCTACTGAATAGAAGATATTTCCAAATGTCTTATCAGATAAAGGGCTAATATCCAAAATCTATAAAGAACTTAAGAAACTCAAGACTTAAATAATTCAGTCAAGAAATGGGCAGAAGACATGAGCAGACATTTTTCCAAAGAAGACATAAAAATGGCCAACAGACACATGAAAAAATGCTCAACATCACTCGGCATCAGGGAAATACAAATAAAAACCACAATGAGATACCACCTCACACCAATCAGAATGGCTAAAAAATTAACAAGTCAGGAAATGACAGATGTTGGTGAAGATGCAGAGAAAGGGGAACTCTCTTACACCATTAGTGGGAATGCAGGCTGGTGTTGCCACTCTGGAAAACAGTATGGAAGTTCCTCAATCAAAAAGTTCAAAATAGAGCTACCCTATGACCCAGCAGTTGCACTACTAAGTATTTACCCAAACAAACATAGTGATCGGAAGGGACATCTGTACCCCAATGTTTATAGCAACAATGTCCACAGTAGCCAAAAAATGGAAAGATCCCAGATGTCCATTAACAGATGAATGGATAAAGAAGATGTGGCATATATCTACAGTGGAATATTATTCAACCATCAAAAAAACGAAATCTTGCTGTTTGCAGTGGTGTGGATAGGACTAGAATGTATTATGTTAAGTGAAATAAGTCAATCAGAGAAAGACAATTATCATAGGACTTCACTCATATGTGGAATTTAAGAAACAAACAGGATCATAGGGAAAGGAAGGGAAAAATAAAATAAGATAAAGCCAGAGAGGGAGACAAATTGAGAGATTCTTAACTGTAAGAAACAAACTGAGGGTTGTTGGAGGGGAGGGGGATGGGGGATGGGATTGGGTGTTGTGTGCAACTGATGAATCACTAAACTCTACCTCTGAAACTAATAATACACCATATGTTAATTAATTGAATTTAAATTAAAAATATTTTTAAAAATTTAAAAAATAAAGACAAAACAGAACTTTTTTTTTTAGAAACTTCTCCATATTTTTCTTTAATTTTGTTTATAAGCTCCTAAAAGTAAACCCTAGTTGATTCTACTAGCAATTTATCCCTTGGGAATAAATATTCTTTTAAATTCTCCTATATTTAGTAAATACAATCCATGAACTTAACATTGATAATGTTCTCAATTACCTGAATGACATTCCCTGGGAAGAGTGAAAGTAATGTGATACTGTCAGTCAAATAGTTTGATTCTCCCAACAAAAGCCTACAGCTCACAATTCCTGATAAGTGGGCATCATCAGCCTACTGAAGGACAAATGCCTGAGTGCTGCCCACAATGTAGCTTCACAGGCTACATTTCCCAACTAGCCAAGGCTAAAAATTGTGACCAGATTTAAAAGCACCATGATGGTAATATCTTAGGAAGCCACTATGTAAATGTAAGGCATTTTTTCCTTAATTCACAAGACCTTTGTTCTCTCAATCTAAGCCATCCCTTCTAATGAATAAGAGCTTTAAATTAAGTATTTGTCCTGATTTTTTTTTTTTGTCATTGCATCCTCCAGATAAGCTTGTTGTTTTCTCTTACAAAGAGACTTGTTTGCAAGGGTACATTAGCACCTTCTCACCAGTTACCCCGAAAGAGCAAACATTTGAAATGAGAAGAGGTAATTCTTAAGATCTGTTTCTCATGTGCTGGAACTGTGGCCAGGATGGTCAGTTGGGTTAAAGACCAGCAAGCAGTTTTGTGTGACCAGAAAGATGGAGTACTCATGGCCACAGAACTAGGAAGCAGTATCTCAGAAACAATGGAAAATTGCATGAGGATATTACCAGTGTGTTTGAGACTGGTATCTCATGTGAATAGTATTAAATAGAAATATGAAGACAGAACCAGGGAAAGTAATGAAAGTAGTTTTTCTTCAGTATAGGGAAGGAGAAAAGAAAGATGTTGCCCCTCTCTTGCATCCCCTTCCCTTCC